ATACTGAAGCCAAATCTGGAGAGTATCTAACAGAATAACTTACGATAATGCTCCAATACTAGTACACATAAATGTATATGTTATAGGAAAATATTAAATACAAGTTTTAAAAAAAGAGGAAAAATCAAGAAGCAAAAAAAATAAAACATTTATTGAAATTTTTTAGGTTGTATACATACACACACACACACATATATATATATATATATATATATATATATTTTTTTTTTTTTTTTATTTATTTTTTTTTTTGCAATAATTGAATTTAATTGTATTAGCTGTCGATTTCTAAAGATGTACGATGACTAAAATATAATTTTAATAAATGTATTTGTTAGATAAATCTGTTGTTTAATTGCACCAACATTCATTGCCCATGTTCACTGAGAAATGGATTAAAATATTTCTCTTTAAAATAGGGTGTACTCGATTATGCTAAGCACTGAATTCACTGAATTACAGAAGCAGGAGCAGTCTGTTTCACGCTGGACACTGGGTCAATGCAATTTGGAAATGCAATTTAATGTAATGTAATGTGCATTTATATAGCGCATTTCTTGTGTATGGCCATACAATTCAAGCACTTTACATTTCTATGAGGGGGGAATTTCTTCAACAACACCACCAGTGTGCAGCATCCACCTTGATGATGATGGCAGCAACAGCACGCTCAACACACACCAGCTGCAGGTGGAAAGAAAATGATAGAGCCAATTCAGTGGATGATTGGAAGGCCATGATGGGTAAGGGCAGAGAGGAATTTTGATTTAACGTCTCATCTGAAAGATGGTGCTCACTGACAATATAGTGTCCCAGTCATATTAGGGCTGAGCACTTCCTTTATTTTACCGGTTGAATAAGTGCATCATCCGGGTAATTAAAGTGCACTTATTTTTAGTTTGCAGTGTGAACGCACTACTTACACTATTTATACTACAAAATGGCGTAGAATAGTGTATGCGATTTGGGATGCACCTCTAGTTTTCCTATGTTGTCTCCCATCCATGTACTAACCACGTTAAGCCCTGCCTACCAGTCTTGGGCTGCAGAGTTATATGGCGGTGGATATGTTTTGTTGATTACGTACACTTGACATTTTTGGAATGTGGGAGTAAACACATTTTCATAAACGCGCAAATTTTGTCAATTGTTTATTGCAAGTAGAGTGGTCCTCAACAGTTTTGGCTACAAAGTCACCACTGTTCACAACAGAAGTCCATGTGGCCATTTACTTGGGATATACTGATGAATTTTACATTTAACTTGGAGCTGATTTTTATTGTCACTATATAAAAAAAAAACATTTTAAATGCTTTTCAGATCTAGAAATTATTTAAAAGTGTAAATATGCACACAAACACACAAATGTATAGTTATTTCACCTTTTTATAAACTATTTTTTTGTCGTTTCGTTTGTTCTTTTGTTTCTTTATCTTTAGGCCCCCTATTGAGACCCAGACCCTTTCCTTCAGAACCACTAATGGCCTGCAGCTAGCTCTCGGCAACTCTGATATGGTTGCCCACTGAAGCTAAGCAGGGCTGCGCCTGGTCAGTTACCTGTATGGGAGACCACATAGAAAAGCTAGGTTGCTGCCGGTGTGTTAGTGAGGGCAGCAGGGAGCACCCAACCTGTGGTTTGTGTGGGTCCTAATGCCCCAGTATAGTGACGGGGACTCTATCTATACTGCTCAGTCGAGGTAAAACCGAGGCCCCGGTAAAAATTCCAGGATTACCTTCGAAAAAGAGTAGGGGGTTGACCCCGGCATCCTGGCCAAATCTGGCCTCTGTCCATCATGGCATCCAAACCATCCCCATATCATAATTGGCTTCATCACTCTTGTCTCCTCTCCACCAATCAGCTGGTGTGTGGTGTGCAGTCTGGTGCAATATGGCTGCCGTCATGTCACCCAGGTGCATGCTGCACACTGATGGTGGATGAGGAGATTCCCTTCAATCTGTAAAGTGCTTTGAGTGTCCAGAAAAGTGCTATATAAATGTAAGGAATTCATATTATAATTATATATAAAATGTATTATACTTTTACAAAATACAAATACATTTTTATGTATTTTAACAATGACAAAAGTTAGATGTGCAGTCAAAGATGTTAAACAAACAAGTTGCAAACAGACTGCGCTAGGTTAAAGGCAATTTTGACAGCATGACAAACCAATGTGGATTATTAACTTGGCATATATTATAAATTAAACACACACACACACACACACACACACACACACACACACACACACACACACACACACACACACACACACACACACAAAGAATATCATATGTAAACCAACTGACCTTCAGCTTGCCTCCATACAGATCTCGTCGACCAAATTACCTTTAGACATAATGATTTAGTAAATGTTCGCTTTTAATAGAGCGGGAAAAACATAACTACACAAGAAGTCGAGATAAAATTCGCACAGCAAACAAGACAACCCAAAAAGGGTTCTAAAAAATCAATCTGTCTGCATCAAGGGATCTTACGTTCAGTCAGACTCAACATGGTAATAATGTTAAATTCCAGCTCAACTCTTCAATGGAACAGTCGCCTCATAAATCACAGTGCAAAAAAATAGGTCGCTGTCTTTTAAACCCTTGTATGAGATTGTTTAATTTGCATCACCTTTATTTAGCCTACTTTAAAATAAAAAAAAAACAACACAACGACTAATAATCTAATCTACTCCCTATATTACTTTCCAAAAAGAACGCTAAGGTGCAAAAGCAAACGCGTTAAATACAACACGAAACACATACACGTGTGCAAGTTGTAATATGTCAAAATGCGCACTATACACCTCTGCGTTTTGGGGAGAATCTTCTCGCACAGATGGGATGGGACTCCACAAAATCCTGTACAAACTGCCTATATAGGAGGCAACATTTGTAAAAATCACAATGTAAGAGTCGTTATACTCAATCCTTAACTATAATCAATCACACTGAAGATGGCAGATGAAACATTGATGAACGCATGCACACATAATGAGAGTTTGAACCGCACCTTGCTTCTCTTCAAGAGGCTCAAATCCAAAAAAATAAAAAAAATCCTCCACCTCCTTCGCAGCGGATGAAAGATCTGGCGATTTCGGAGATGCTTCAGTGTCTAAACAGCCTCACATCACCGTATCCAAAAGTCTTTCCAGCCCTGGACACTGTATTTTTTTATTACGGGTATGATTTTTATTCCTTCTACCGTTTAAGCGCTGCAACTGTCAAAATATTTGCTCGTTCGTTATAATCCAGACGCACAACTTTCAGTGCGCAGTCTCTGCTAGACCTGCTATCTGCGGGAAATGTCTAACGAGCTCGAGGAATCAAAGTTATAAGAGAACCGGCGCGTTATCAATCCTGTCCTTCACCTCCCGTGTTTTTCGTGATGCGCACCCTGCGTTGCGCACTAAAGTTCCTTACCTTTGGATGCCACGTGCGCTCAAGCCAGCAGATGTCGCCTTTGCCTCAGTTTAATTTGAATACAGACTGACTGTTAGAGGATAGAAAGAACGACTGAAAACGCATTTCGCCCAGTTTTTAACATAAACGGAATAAATTAAAGGATTATAATTAATCATAATAATTTTATATTTAGATAAATATGTTTTATGTTTGGCTCTCGCAATAAAATTAGAAAAGTATGCTATCACTGTCATATATATTATCATGATACTTTTATTTTATATATTTGTTATATAAGACATAATGTCCCCCCTCAAATCTGATCTTTATTTTCTACCGGACACAAGTCAAGGGATTGCCTGGGCCATTCTACAGCTTGATTTTCTTTCTCTGAAATCATTTCAGAGTTTCCTTGGCTGTTTTGGATGGTTGTCTTGCTGAAATGTCAGTTCTGGTTTTATCTTCATCATCCTGCTAATGTAGATGTTAAACTGAAGCAGCTAATATTAATTTACAGTGATGAAGGGCAGAGGGTTACTGAATAACTACTGAGAGATTTCAGCTACTGTCTGGACTTTCACTGCCTTTCTATGCCTCTCTTTCTTCTTGTGTTCAATACTTTTTTCTTTGGTTGTTATCAACATCTGGTGAACATTTCAAATCAACAGCACCTTTGTTGACGTGTTCAATACTTACTACACCCAGTGTGTGTGTGTGTATAATGAGGTACTAAAACTATAATGTTTTATCTAGAAATGTGTTATTATGTAAAACTAGAAGTCTTCTCTCTGTTAAACAGAAATTGGGGAAAAAAATAAACAGGAGGGCTAATAATTCAGGGGGGCTATATATATATATATATATATATATATATATATATATATATATATATATATATATATATATATATATATATATTTGTAGAGTACAATTGGCATTTTGTATAGAATTTTAATCTTTATTTTGTCACCTACTTTGACAGCATTTGGACTTTTCACAGGTTTGAACAGGTTTCATTGTCAAAAAAAAAAAAAAAAAAAAAAAGGAAAAACAAGTATAGTAATTTCACTGACAGCTTTCCTGAACTTTCATATTCTTCTTGGTGGTGCTACAAGACACCTTTGTTGTGGGAGCCTCTGTGGCACTTGAGCAGAATCATTCAGTCAGTTCTGTGTTTACTCTCTGTGGCTTTGTGGGAATTGTTTGACTTTTTTATGCTCAGGCAGGGTCTAAAATAAGCTTTTTGCTATACCTGCCAAGTACTTTTGAGATTGAGAACACTGAACAGACATAAATACTTTTAACCAGCCACAAAACTGTAAAAAAAAAAAAAGTATTTTGTCACTGAATTTGCAAGATATTAGTGAAAAGGTCACATTTGATCAATTCAGTACACATTTAATGAGTTGTAAATGTTCCTTTAATAAAGCAAAACTGTGTCAAGTTTCAGAACAATCCCAGTGTATTATTCACTCAGTTCATTGCTGTTATTTTAAACACCTGAAGCTCAGACTAAAAGATGACGAGAATATTAAATATCTCCACAAGCTTCCATTGTCCTAAACATAAAACAAAGCCTTACAGACTGAGAAATTAACAGAAAAGGACTTTATTGATTTTTATTGAACACTGTAAATAAGGTAATTATACTCTTCATGTGTTAATAAATGTACAAAATGCAGTTCATGGAGAAATTCTAGCGTTAAATACTACACAGCCACTGTACATCCACCTGTGGAGTCTCCATTCACACATATCTCATCCAGCTCAGGAGGTTATACTGCTTTATAACCACTCACACGCTCAGTACCATCCTATTTCTTCTCTAGTGTCATATACAAAGTACCAGGAAAGGTAACAACAGAGCTACATGTGGGAATAACAGCACAGCTTCCATAAATATGTACAAAAACATGAAGGTCAGGGTCAACAGAACAGGCACGTCATGATAACATCTGTGATTTAGTCTTCAGGCGGAGCATTTGTAGAAAATGTCCACAGTTTATTTATTTATTTTATTTTTTTTTTTGGTTTTTCATGATAAAGTGGTTTTAGTTCTTTTTATGAAGGAACTTCATTTTATTTCCTGGAAAAAAAGATAAAAAATTGGTGTGTAAGGTTATATTTCTTTATTTTTTCATAAAACAGGATTTATAGATACAGTACAGTGCTCAGCATAAATGACTGCAACCCTTTTTAAAGCTAGCATATTTGATCATTTCTCAGTGAATGTAGCCAATCATTTTACTGTTATATCAATTAAAATAAGACATTGGTCCCCTAACATCTGTAGGAATAGAGAGATATTTGAAATATTCTTAACTCTTAATCCTAATGAAATTGTATATTTTTTATGTTTCTCATCATTTTATTGTATATTCATTCATTCATTCATTTTCTTGTCGGCTTAGTCCCTTTATTAATCCGGGGTCGCCACAGCGGAATTTTTACGCAGCGGATGCTCTTCCAGCCGCAACCCATCTCTGGGAAACATCCACACACACACTCAATTTACAATCACAATTTACAATTTAGCCTACCCAATTCACCTGTACTGCATGTCTTTGGACTGTGGGGGAAACCGGAGGACGCACCCACGCGAAGGCAGGGAGAACATGCAAACTCCACACAGAAACTCCAACTGAGCCGAGAAACTACTTACTGCACCAATGCCTCGCCATATATATATATATATATATATATATATATATTCCTAACATATTTATTTGGGTGTAATTTTTACTGGCTAATCTAATGTATATGCACAAATATATCATTGTGTGTTATTTATGCTGAGCACCGTACATGTAACTAGTTTTCTGTACTCACCTAAACCCTTCAGAAATTTGTTGACTCCACTCTGTTCTGTGTCTGGTAACTCCTCCAGATACTGCTCCACCCTCTGCTCAAAAAGACCTGTTCAACGAGGGGTGGGTAAACAGACAGACAGACAGACAGATAGATAGAAGCAAATAAAAAGTTTATATATTAATAAAAAAAAGAACAACAATAACAGCAATAATAATAATAATTGTTATTATTAGCAATTATGGCTATTATACAGTTGAAGTCAGAATTATTAGCTCCCCCAGAATAATTAGCCCCCTGTTTATTTTTTCCCTAATTTCTGTTTAACGGAGAGAGGATTTTTTCAACACATTTCTAAACATAATAGTTTTAATAACTCATCTCTAATAAATGATTTATTTTATCTTTGCCATGATGACAGTACATAATATTATAATAGATATTTTTCAAGACACTTCAATACAGCTTAACATGACATTTAAAGGCTTAACTAGGTTAATTAGGTTGACTAAGCAGGTTAGGGTAATTAGGCAAGTAAAAAAAACAACAAAAAAAAACTGCTTTTATTCTAGCCTAAGTAAAACAAATAAGACTTTCTCCAGAGGAAAAAATATTATCAGACACACTTTGAAAATTTCCTTGCTCTGTTAAACATCATTTGGGAAATATTTACAAAAGAAAAAAAAAATCAAAGAGGGGCTAATAATTCTGACTTCAACTATATACACTACAAACTAAATGTAAAAACATTGTTTTTGATAACCAGAAGGTGGCAGTAAAGATCCGACTCCCAGCCAGCTTAAAACGTTACCCTCCACCCCACCTCAAAAAGCCCTATGTGAAAGTGGATTACAGCGGTCTGATGCTAACAGGACATCACATCTGATGAGAAGTGGTCTTGTTTTTATTGGTTTACCTTTGGCCCTGCACTTCCTCATCTCCCGGTCCTGGATGAATCCAGCAAACATCTGAGACTCCATGAAAACGCCCAGAAACCGGCGGATGCTCTTAGAAGCCACAGACTTGCGGAAGGGTTCGCGCTGGAAGATCCGTTCGCCTCTTTCACCCTGGGTGAGAAACAGTGAATAATGGCCAATGGTCTCCAGGAAAAAGCGGATGAAGGCCTCCGATACCACACTGTTCAACGACGTGCTGCACTCTGAAATCAAGGACAATATTATACATAATTAAATATTAGATTTGATTCATTTTCATCTTGGTTGAAAAGTAAAGACGTTGGCAATGAAGCAACAAAGTATACTTTACTTTTTTAGATATACGTGTACATTTTTTATCCAAACCTGGTTCAATGCACAACCTTTAAGAAGAACACATTTTAATAGTGTGCAAAAACAGGTGCTAAACATGTTTAGTGTTAGGAATAAAATCTGCTTTCTCTGTAAAGTCTTTTCATTTCACAATTATATGTTACATTTGAACTACATTGAGTATTTGTTGCTGCTCTTGTTTTTTCATACTGTGAATGAGCAGTTCAGTGTTGCCACCTAGTGGACAAACTTAGGCAATTCTAATTAATTGCTCGGATTCTGTTGTGTGTGTGTGCTGTTTACATTTTTGTTTGGCATATGTCAAATTTTGGGGTAAACAGATCCTAGATCAGGATCCTCAATTAACATGCAATTGTAAAGTGATGATCACGCAGCATGCAGTTATACATAGGAATTAAAGGGATAGTTCACCCAAAAAATGAAAATTCTGTCCCTACTTACTTTCCCTTTACTTGCTCCAAAATTGTTTGATGTTCAGTTGGACGCAAAAGAAAATATTTTGAAGAAAGCTGCAACCATTGACTCACATAGTATTTGTGTTTCCTGTATATGTCAATGGATACAGGATTTCAGCCTTCTTTTAAATATCATCCTTACAATGGAAGAAAGAATCTCAAAAGTTTAGAACAAGTAAAGGATGAGTAAATACTGAGTAAATTTACATCTTCGGGTGAACTATTCCTTTAAAGTAAGATATCATATGTTTATTGTCAACTAACTAACTAATTAACACTTAAACTAGTCAATTGGCATTTTCAGACTTTCTTTTTATCTTTTTTCTTTTTGAAGGAGCACATCCATGTAATGCCAGGCAGCAAGCTTGTTGATTTGTAACAATTCACTAACACACAAAACTGGATCCATGCTCTCAAATATACAGTGGTCTCATGGCTGTTACAAAAAAATGTAAAGTCTCAACTATTTCACATTGCGCTGCACCCACCCACAAACATAAATCTACACCTTTTATACAAGCCATCATGTTTTGCTTGTAAATAAAGAGCAGTAATACTTGTCATATCACCATCCGCTAACTACTTTTCACAGCTGTCTTGATAAATTGATAACAGAGTAACTGAAGTGACCCTATGTGTGCAGAAGTGTGACTGTTTGGACATCTTGTCTTGGATTTTTTTTAACAAACTGAAGTGGCCCAAATCAAAAGTGAAAAGATCAGATTACATGTGGTTTCTGTTGTCCACCTTGTCATGAAAAAAAAACAGATATTTTTGATATGTATTTTTGACATATTTTGACAGGGTGGTGGTTTTCCTGAACAGTTGAGCTCTTTTAAAAATACATTTGCAGAAAAAAATATTTTTTTAGCAAATGCAAAATGTAAATGGACCTCTGTAAGTGAGTAACAACATCTGTAAGCAGTTCATATAATAAATGAGCAGAGAAAGATACTTAAAAGTGTTGTTTGGTCTGCAGAAAGCCAGTACTAGTAATTGACCAGCAATTGATTCTGATTGGACAAGGGAAAAATTGGGCTACTTTATAATCCTTTTGGGTGAATTTTGAGTTGTCGTAAGGCTGGAAAATTATCAGGGACCTGTGGTCCATTCCTAATATGTGGATTACTCAACTAGATGGATTTGGTTATTGACGATTTGACACGATCCAGGATCGTTTAGTTCTTTAAAACTTTTCTAACAGTTGTTGTCATAGCAACAGTTCTGGTAGCTCAAACCAGCTTGAGAGCAGGTTTTTTTTTTTATGTAAACAGGATTTGATCTGGTCTTCAAAGCAAAGGTGTTACTAAACGTATGTACCAAATGCCGATATTTTCTTACAGTAGTAACCTATACACACTTGGGAAAATAGTAAAATAATTGTAAAAAATTATATATACATTTATAATTCATAATAATTAAAAATATTTAATATTAAATAATTAATAATATATATATATATATATATATATATATATATATATATATATATATATATATATATATATATATATATACTTATATATGTTTATATATAACTTATGCAATCTGCATTCTGAAATAAAAATACAAAATAGGGTAGTTCCCCCAAAGAGGATTAAATAGAACTTTTATTAATATCTACATTTTAGATATAAATTAATACTATTTAAATGTACCGACCCAGCTGTACATTTTGTGTATGATAATAGACATGCTCATTATTCGACTGTTTTTGTTTGTTTATGTGTTTGTTTTTTAAAGAAATAATATTAGCATTATGACAGCTAATATGACAGTAATTTGATGCTTTGCAAAAGTTGCAGACACCTTTACCAATTCATTTAAAAAAAATTAATTTAAATTAATTTAAATTCGCTGATTAAGAAACTTGAATAGGCCTAGTTTACTATAATAAAGAATATCCGCTCGAAATGTAAAACTAAATAGACTGCAAAATACTCTTAACACCTGAAAGTGTAAAGCCTGCAGCCCACAACAAAGGTGGAAAGTTATTGCATAACATATTTGACAAACAGTTTAATCAATGTTAATCAGATGATGTCATCATTACGCTGCTGTGCCATCAGCAAATCGTTGCATTGCTGATCATGATTTCACAGATCTCAGATCAGTTCATCCATACATTTCAATCTGATTTGCAAACTTGTTTGAAGAACCAAATTAGCCAAAGATTATTTATCAAGAATAAAATATCCAGGAACTGTCAAAAAATCTTAGAACATTAAAGCGAGGTACGAAGAACAACCCCTGGAAGCCCTGGTCATGCTGAATATCCATTTTATGTACAGTAAAAAAAAAACATGCATGTTCAGTATGACAATTAAAATAAAATACAATCTGAGATTTTTCATGGTGCTTATGAAAGCATATACGCTTATAAGGAAATGGAGCAAGATCATAACATTAGGCTTTTCACCTTCATCCGATTCACTGTCGGAGTCTTGATTGATGATGTCGTTCCTCTGTTCGAGAGATTGCTCCAGAGCAGCTTGCAGTTTGCGTGGAAGCAGCGAGGCCTCGTCATCCATCTGTATACAGGAAGATTACCATTGTAACAATGTTTAGTGATTCATGCCATGGCACATCCCGCTTGTTTATATTCTCACATCTTAACGACAACACGCAATTAGCTGTGTTACAGCCATGGGAGAAAGAGTTTGTGTCAAACTCAGGAGGGAGAGATTAGTTTATGAACGAACCTGTCTGATGAAGCGATCCGTCCCAAGATCAACCATTAAAGCCTGAAACATAAAGAGAAACAGATTTCAACTGGCTGCGTCGCATTATTCTGTTTAATCACACAGCATTCAGTGGTTTTGGGGAGGCTTAAACGTCACAACATTTCCAGAAGTTGATCCACAGCAGATGGAGTCTGACACCCATTTAAAAATGCAGTGTTAAAAATGACAAGCGCCACAAATTGCTGCACTTCCACACGTTTTCACTGTGTAGGGTCACCCCGTATGGCCATTACAAGTGCACTTGTGTCCAAAATGCTGCTGCCAAATGCACTAAATGCCAAAGGCTCAGTAGAGACCGAACTTCAGCCTTGTGGCCAAGCTGGCACTATGCTATGGGCAGCTGGGAACAACAACGCTCCCGGTTGGGAAAGTTTCGAAGAGTGGAGGCAACAGTCTGGCCAGGAATGCTGAGCTAGGCTTATGAAGCTGACGCCACATTAAAGGCTCATACACAAAAAATTGGCCAGTTCTCTGGGCATGTTATTGTACTTAGTATGTTTCTCATTCATTCCAGCACATTTCTGAACCTGGGAAAATGACTTTAGCCCTGTAGTCTACTGTGAGAGAACAACATAAGGGTTCAACGATCAGGCAGCTTGTTAGAGTAAGAACATAATTGAAGTGTTAAGGAGAGCAGCCAATGAGACAGTATTCACAGGAATTCACAAGTCACCATCAGCTAAACGGCTCTCAGAATAATAACCTCCCAGAGTGAGTAAAAATGCCTGAATCTTTGAAATAGAGACTTTATTTATAATGATTTGTGCCTTTACAGTTTTAGAGTATAAAATAATATTGTAATATGTTGATTTTTCTGCTAAACGAAAAACAACAACTGGGGTCTTCAGCAAATGATTTGAATAGCTATATTTGGCAAGAACGAGTCATTCTAGAGTTAGTGGGGTGACACTTTTGGGGAGTGCATTTGCATATTATGATGGCACAATAAATGAAAAAAATACAGCTTTTTTTTCCCCCCTCTTTTTCAACTTTTTGGGCTCAACAATTTGGAAAAAAAAACTGAATGCATTTGATGACTGATGAACCAACCAATAATAAACTTCTTTAAGTAACAATTTCTTCATCCCAGTTTTCATAGTTCACATTACCACAGTATTCTAAAACAAAACAAAACAAAAAATATATAAATTAAAATAAACTAATAAATAAAAGATAAAATAAAAGTAAATAAAAAATAAAAACAGTAAAATCTTTTTGTATGACTTGTTTTAAATAAATAAATAAAGAATGAAATATTGTTATGCATGTGATGCTGATTCCAGAGCAAAGCTTGTGTCTGTGTTCACTTACACACATGTATCTCATGATATCAATGTCTCAGAACAGCTTGATTCTGAGTAAATGAACCAAGCCATTCTCAGATGCTGGAACAGTGTACCATTAATTTATTTTAAGGGATAGTTCACCAAAACAATAAATTCAGTCACCACTTACTGACCCTCCATTTGATATAAAACTGTTTGAATTTCTTTCTTTCGATCAAACAAAATAATTTATTTTAAATGTTTTTTTCCTACAATGAATATCAATGGCTACTGTTTTTTTAACATTCTCCAAAATATCTTCTTTTGTGGACATTTGATTAAACTTTTTTTTACTTTTTTTTAGGTGAACTATGCCTTTAAGAAAGGCTTTCTTTAAAGGTGCAGTATGTAAGTTTGACACCCAGTGGGTGAATTAGGTATTGCATTCCTGGGTCAAAGCAAACACAAGCACAGGCTGCCAGATTGAGGACCAACAGGAGGGAGTCTGAAGATCCGGCCTAAAGGCTGATTACAACAGTGTTCTATATAAAAGCCATGACACGCGATAGAAGGAATTTTCTCCATATTAAAATGAGTTTTTGTTCTTATCAACACCTCGAATTGATATATTAGAAACAGCTTCTATTTCTTGCAGCTGAACAACAGAAAACTGACAATGGTCACCTCAGGTACACCTCATGTGCTTTATTCAGTGTTAAATGCTAACAATGTGAATTTTGTTGCCATTTTATATGACATTCTTTGCCATACTACTGAAAGCAGCAGCAGATAGTTCACCTCAGATCATCAAAAATGCAATAAACTTTTTCAAATTAAACTTTAGATCTGTGACTCGCATATCAATCATTCCACATTTAAATTTAATAATGTTAAAGAGGTTCAATATGTATTGATTAGGTTATAAACCTTAGCATTTCTTGAGTGAGTGCACTATTCTGTGCTTCTGAATGGCTGTAATTAAATTTATGTTGTGTATTCTCTGGTGCAAATAGCCAAATTGCTTATCTCATCATTTAGTGTGTTGTTAGGACACAGGGTTAACATAAACCCTGCTCACCTAATGTTTACGTTCATAATATTTATATTATTTGCTTATTAATAACCTCATGTGGAACTCTGAATCTGCATCTCATTTTGGAGGCTGCTACTGTCCACCGGAGGTCACATTTCGGTAATGGACGCATGCTTTGAGAGCCTTTGACTGAGGGGATGAAATATGCGATTTTGAGATCCAACAAGGCAACCCAGAGTACTAAAATATAATTGGCTATAGTGGCATTGGAAAGGTTAAAAGAACCAAAACAAAGACAGAGTTCTGGCATGTAACAGTATGGTACTGTTATGCTTTATAAGAGTCAAAAACTTGCATACAGCACCTTTAAAGAAGAGACCCTTTTCCACTTTGTCTCCAATTTATGAGGTGTCTAATTTTACTGTTGTTAAATTATGTATTAGGTAAGCCATATCACAATGTAAAATTTATACTGAAATATTACGCTGTCCTAATGTGAACTCATGTATTGCATCCTGGGTCTAATGGCAGTTTTTCAGACAAACCAGTTTCATGTAGGCTGGTGCACAGCCAAGCACACATTGTACACACTTGACAAAGTATCCCATTACAGTGAACATGATGGGTGACAACAACAGGGCTGTTGCAATGTTTGTGACAAGAGCTATCAAGTGTATTTTGTCCGCACCTCCTCCACAGGCAGTTCCTTGAGCTTTGGCAGCGAGCTGGATAAAATACCCACTAAGAAAGGAGTCGGGCAGCAGACGATGTCCACCATGGAGGTGGGCAGCACAGGGATGAAGGTGTGCTGCCAGGAGAAGGGGTAGAGCAAAGCCACCACCGCATGAACACAGCTGGAAAGAGTACTGTAAAGAAAGAGAAAAAGCACAGTCAATCACCTAGCTTTGACGAAATCTCACACACCTTCTGAGCAAAGTCTGTTCAGGAAAAAGCATTTGAGCACAGATTTTCCAGTTTATGTTGGCTTTAGTAAGGGAACAATGGAATCTGTGATTATGAGAGCAACACAAGAAAACAGCCAATGGCGTTCGTTTACTTTACACAAGTACTTTTCAAAAGATCTCCCGTAATGTTATTCACAACGTGGCAGTGGCATCAAGACAACAGTTATGTAAAACTCTGTGGAGATAATGGAGTGATGTAACAGCACACGATGAAAGGTCATATAAATCACTGATATGATCATTTTTGTAAGAGACAAATGATGTAGTACACTGAAAGCCTTTATTCTGGTCTCAAATGTAATATGATGCTCAGTACTCAATGTTTTTTCCCTTAAAAAAACAATAATAGTAATAATACTTTAATGTAGCTGAGATGGCTAGTAGTGGGATAGTTCACCCAAAAAACTAAGATCCTGTAATCTTTTACTCATTCTTTCCAAACCTATTTCTTCTGTTGAACACAAAGAAAGATATACTGAAGATTGTTTGAAAAAAGACATTGGCTGTTTCTCAATTGCAAAAATGCTGAGAACAGACTTGTGTTCTTGTGGAGATCGCTCTTGCCAGGTTACCACGGAAGAACAAAGTCGGGAGACTACGAAAACAGAAGACACAACATCTGAGAAATGAAATGCTGCATTCTTACTGATAGTCACATAACATTCACGCGTTTATAACGAAAAAAAATATTTAAATATTACAGCATTCATACAAAGATTGATTGTTTTCCCTCTTTTTACAATATATACTATGCATAAAGACCTTTCACTGCTAAAAACTAATTTTAATACGAATTTCAGTAAATAAACAACCTTAATGTGTTTATGCCTTTATTAACATACTCATATTTATGTTTACTTTCATCTCATCTGTCTCATTTAGGAAAACTCCTGAGACAAATAAGTTATATCTCTGAACTTTGATAATACATCTATATAAAATGCTGTGCTTCCCACCTCCTTTTATTAGCTGCAATGACTTCTGGGACTTCTAAAGCAAACTTTGCTCTCAAGTCTGCATCAACACATCCTCGATATCAAGAACACATCCGGTAGTTTTGGAACTAAACTTTGGCAGTTGTTGATGACGTTACACAAGGACACATAATCACTGAATAACGCTCATTGAGAAACAGCCATTGACTTCTATAGTATTTTCTTGTTGTTGTTGTTCCTACACTCTCAGAAATAAAGGTACAGGAGCTGTCACTGGGCTCATTTTCAAAAGATACATATTTGTACCCACAGTGGTACCTCAAAAGTGCATATTAGTGCCCAAATGCACCTAAAAAGTACATTTGAGGTGACATTATGGACCCTTTAGGTACAAATATGTAACTTTTGAAAAGGTACTGCCCCAGTGACAGCTCCTGGACCTTTATTTGTGAGAGTGTATTATGGATGCCAATGGCTGCTTTTTCCAACATTCGTCTGAATATCTTGTTTTGTGCTTAAATCATAATTCATAGTTCATACTCAAGTTTATCGAGCCACCTGAGTGTCAGTAAATGATGAAGACACAAAAAATTTTGGGTGAACTATCCCTTTAAATGTATCAAAAGGGAAACATTTATAAAATTACAATCATTGTTTCCACAAAATGATTAACTTCAATCATTTTAAAAAAATGCAATTTGCAAATAATAAATGCATAAGCATAAAATCAGCATATCAGACTGATTTCTGGAGAATCATATGATACTGAAGACCACAGTAAGGCTCATTTATAAATATATTTAATAGAAATTGTTATTTTTAATCATAAAAATATATATAACAATACATCTAAGAATATATAATGTACAATATTTTTACGGTAAAAAAATAAAAAAATATAAAATAAAATCATATTGGCACTTAAAGCTTTTAAAAATATTGTTTTTAAGATAAAAGGAAAGTCATGATATGTCCTTCTAGCTGTTTTCTGCTTGCTTGTATTTTCTTCTACCAGTACGGCTGCACAATATATCATTACAACATCAACATCGCAATATGATCACTAGCAATAGTCAGATGGCAAATATACGTAATGTTGAGTCTGGATTAATACTGATCATTTTGCATGTGTTTTATTGGGGCCTGTGACTGTGTGAGGGCTTTAAAAGCATTCAGGCATATGAAATTGTACCATTTGTAACTTTGAAAAATTAATAACAATTAATTTTATTGAACTGTTTATAAAAACAAAGACTATGCAGTATTAATTAACATTTGATCATTTAATTACTGTATACTTTAATACTCTTTAAAGAATACTTTATATTTTATCTGTATATTTTTCTTGTAGATTGTTTATATTTTATGCATTCCCCTAGAGCAGGGGTCACCAAACTTGTTCCTGGAGGGCCGGTGTCCTGCAGATTTTAGCTTCAACCCTAATCAAACACACGTGAACAAGCTAATCAAGGTCTTACTAGGTATCCTTGAAACATCCAGGCAGGTGTGTTGAGGCAAGTTGGAGCTAAATCCTGCAGGGACACCGGCCCTCCAGGACCGAGATTGGTGACCCCTGCCCTAGAGAATCCTCCCAAATCTATCAATGTAAAATTATAAATTCTTTACAAAGAGTTAATCAACTAGGTTTACATGGACACCAATAATCCGATTTTAATACGATTAAGACAATACTCTGATTAAGACTCTATCATGTTAACAGCAATTTTTGATTAATTCAAACCGATTAAGGTCATAATAGAACTACACAGAAATTGAATTAAGACATGTGGAGTATGCCGATTTTAGTCGCATTATTGAAGTGCAGTGCAGACGTGAAAACTCCTTAATCAAGCTATTACCCCCATTTAGGATTTTGTAGCAAATTCCTTTAAAACAACACTCTTCCAGCAGTTCAGTCGCATCTAATATCTTGTTTGGCATGCAGTTAAAGTCGACAAATTAAAAATGAAACAACCAAAATTACATAAAACTCTGGAGGAAATGTGGCTAACGTGGTGACACAATGGCGTTAATTGAATTATGTGCTATAACATGTAAAACAGAATCATGAAAGGAATATTCGAAAAGCAACTCATGTAAACACCTTAATCATATTATTGTCTTATTCAGATTAAGGTAAATAATTAGATTACTGATGTCCATGTAAACATAGTCATTACATAGTCATTGTTAAATTTTTACAGTATCATGCAGCCCTATCTACCAGTGTCTGAAACTTTGTATTTGTAATTATTTGACCTTTTATGATTAATCGCTCACATATGTAGTAGGTCACTATGTTTATGTTGTTTTCACCGCGATATGGAGTGGACCTGAAAAATCTACATTTTTATCAGAGAAAATTAAGTGATGTACACCTCAGTTTAACAAACAACACATAGAAATACACTTTAATCTACAGGTTCAATGTTTGATGAAGAAACAAACTGAAAAAACACTAGTTGCCATTATAAAAAGGCTGTCCAAGTGTTACCAGTAAATCAATGGCACAAAATGTTCCAAAAAAGAAAATATGCAAGACTGTTTTATGTGTGGCTTGGATTTAAATGTTTCATTGGTTGAACTACCACATTACCCATTGTACTGTAAGTGGACAAGCTACATCTAAATCTCTATATCTTCAGGGCCCCATTGTAAAGATGATATCATGATGGGCAACCACACTGTAATAACACGTTCACTATTATTCAAACAACACGTCTACAGATCACGCTCCTAAATTACTCTCTGACGTTCAAGCAGCCGTGAGATGTTACAGGCTAAGCGCAAAGTCACAAATAGCATAGTGGCCTTCTCACGGTCCCCGGCTTGTTGATAGTGGCTGACCCTCCTTTCTCTTGCTCTCATCTCTTTCTGTCCCATCCACCATGCAGACCCCCATATATACAGAGGCCGAGAAAATAAACCATCAGAAGCACACTGACTCCAGCCATGAATTAGAAGGGATCAGGCCTGAAGCCAGTGAGAAGATGTGGTATGCTAACTGTAAACTGAACATAATTGCTGCACCAATACTGCTCATTTGCATTTTTAAAGGAGAGTGAAAAATGCCCTCTTTTACATGAAAATTAATTTATGCTATTTTTATCAGAATAGAACTTCTCCGGGTCTCAAAACTATTTGCATATCTGCAAATTAGCACATGCAATTAAGCGGTGCATTTTTAATCAAATAAAAAATTATTACATTTCATGGCCAATGCCATGAATGTGTGTGTGTGTGTGTGTGTGTGTGTGTGTGTTTTGTATAAAAAATTGTATAATGACATTGCTATGACCTGGAAATTACTCTTGCTGCATCCCAATACACATATCCGCCCTAAGTAGTATTTGAAAAAAGAATTGGTATGTTCCAAATCTTGATATGTTGAAAAGAGTATGCCAAAGGTTCCCGGATGGTTTACTATTTCAGGTAAAAATTCCATCCATACTCTAACCACTGATATTGTCCACAAGACACTGCATATTGGACGTAAATTTGATTACAATGCGGATAAAAATTGTAAAAAAAACTACTAAACTACTAAACATTATGGACGCGTGAGACCAACCATTGAGAAGAGGAGGAAAAAAGCTTCGGTAAAGATGTTTGAATGACTGTTTATCAATATCTAACCCACTGGAAAACATGTAAATCGTGTTTTACGTGTTATATTTCATCTGCAACAACAACATGAACTTATGTAAAGATGTGTTTGGATATTAACGTTTGAATGCATAATTATCCAAAAACCTGAGGAGATTACTCTGCATGAAAGACTTGTGAATGGCAGATGATCCTGCTGCTGCTTCTCCAATAAGGTAGGAAATTAAATATGAAAGAAATGTGGATGATGGGAGAATGACTGACAGGGCTCGTAACTAAGCAACACAACGATCTGTTAACGAGAAAGTAGTGTGTCCCAAAGCTTGCATAGTCTTCTGTTACACACACAAATGTATATAC